GTCCTAGTGTAATGTCAACAAATAAATATTCACAGGTAGAATCATCATAGGTGTTAAAGATATCATCGCGAACGGTGCATGTTATATCATCTTTTACAAACAGTGCAACACCTCCTCCTCTACTAACACAACCAACTATATCCGAATGTATGAAAGTATAACCGTGTAAGTGAAATGGAGTAACTGGTTTACCACAAATCCATGTTTCGGAAAGGGCAATTATTGAGAATTTATTCGACAATGTATCAAGAAGATTTGTAATGCTATCAACATTTCTATTAAGACTACGAGCATTCATGTGAATTAAACTGAAATTATATTCATTTTTTTACCAAAAAAGAGTTCAATTCACTGGGTGTATAACATGAACAATTATTACCGTGTTCATATATGCATATATCTGGATCCAAATCGTTTTTGGAAACGAAAACCCAGGATGCTTCCAGCAAGCACATGAAAACATTTATGTCATATTTGGTTTAGAAAGTCTCAACCTAGAAAAAGAAACATTGTTAGAACCTTCAAACTCTTTTCTTTCCACCTCCTTTGAAACAGTATACATTTTGAATTCAGACAGAATAGATAACATTAAAACAACATCAATATTACATAAATATATAGATGTACGAATAGTAGAAATCGAAATCGAAAACAATCATGAATATAATACACAAAAGTACAAGTTTTGTGCAGTGTAATACGAAAGAGGTCGGAGTGGTTCTTGTGATAGAGAACCCTTGTGCCAAACAAGGATTTTCCAGTATGTATAGAGTCTACTAGTCTACTAGAACTGAGAAAGAGAGAGACTAGGAGAGAGAAAGGGAAGAAAGAGAGGAAGGGAGGGAGAGAGAGAGAGAGAGAGAGAGATAGAGAGAGAGAGAGAGAAAGAGAGAGAGAGAGATTAGAGAGAGAGAGAGAGAGATTAGAGAGAGAGAGAGAGATTAGAGAGAGAGAGAGAGATTAGAGAGAGAGAGAGAGAGAGAGATTAGAGAGAGAGAGAGAGAGAGAGATTAGAGAGAGAGAGAGATTAGAGAGAGAGAGAGAGATTAGAGAGAGAGAGAGAGCGAGAGAAAGATTAGAGAGAGAGAGAGCGAGAGAAAGATTAGAGAGAGAGAGAGAGAGATTAGAGAGAGAGAGAGATTCGAGAGAGAGAGAGAGAGAGATTAGAGAGAGAGAGAGAGAGAGATTAGAGAGAGAGAGAGATTAGAGAGAGAGAGAGAGAGAGAGAGCGAGAGAAAGATTAGAGAGAGAGAGAGAGAGAGCGAGAGAAAGAGAAAGGGGGAGGAGACGCTACGCCTTCTCATGCATCAATGGCTTGACCATAAGTATACGCCACTGACCCTAAATGATGCATTGTGAATCCCCATGTATCCCTACTCGTTTATCACACATAGGCCTACCACACCTGGGTCGAGAGAGACAAGTTTAGGTAAAATGTCTTTCCTAAAAATAAAAAAAAGTTTTGAGTTCTCATGCTCCACCCCCCCTTTTTGTCATGCTTCCCCAATGTTAGTGGACTAGGGGGAGGGGGGAACACAATTTCCACATGATTAGGGGATTCTCATTAATATATTTTTTTGGGGGGAGGGTTGGGCTGGAAGAAAAAAAAGGAATTTTGGCGGCGCCGCCCTTTATAGTCTACGTCATTGCGCAAAATTAGGAGAAGAAAACATGGAAGACAAAGATAAAAAGAAGAAGAAAAAGAAGAAAGAGAAGAAGAAGGAAAAAAAAGAAGAAGGAGAAGAAGACGAAGGAGAAGAGGAAAAAATATTATCGTTTAAACTGCTATGGGAAATGAGATCAGGAGGAAAAATACTTTAAACGTCAGTAAGCGACTGATTTTTAAAATTTACCTTGGATCCTTTATTTTAAAAAAGACCTGTATAAAAAACTAATTTGAAATGCACTGCGCTGATTTCTCCGATAATAAATATAGTAGACAGTTTATATCCGCCTATGAGAATATACCTTTTTCTTTTAGTTTGTTTCTCTCTTCCTTGTCTCAAAAAGTATCCAATGTCATCTTTATATTCCATTCTACACTGTCTAGTCAATATCAATTTGCTCTAGACCCTAACAATTTTTTTTCAGTTTAGTCGTTTCAAGTACGGAGCTGCTGATGATATACTAAACTTGTAATAATCTGCTGGCAGTTGCAATTACTACAACCAATGATAGAACCATGTCAAAGCCACCGTGGGGAAGGCAAACCTCGTATATTGGTCCGTATTTTACTAAAATGTAAACCCAACGTGAAGCTTAACAATAAATTGTTCAACCATCGGGTTTAAAAAAGGGAGAATAGTCCGCAGTGCAAGTTTTCCTTAAAAAAATAGGTGATTTTAGACCCACGGTCGACAAATGCTTCGGTCAGCATCGATTTCCTATAACTTCAATCATGGATTAAACACTGTACCTAATCCTAACCCTTAACCTTAAACCTAGCCCCAACGTTAACCCTAATCTAAGTATAATATTTGGAGGGGGAAAAGAAAAGAAAGAAAACAGAAGAAGAAGAAGAAGAAATAGAAGAAGAAGAGGAAGAGGAAAAGGAAGAAGAAGAAGAAGAAGAAGAAGAAGAAGAAGAAGAACATATAGCTCCGTTTAGTCTCATTAGAGGATGCCCCCTATCGGCAGAGTCCTGCAGCCTAACATGTACGTTAGCCTATGGACTTTTACACACACAAAAAACATCGTTAAGGCTCAAGGCATGGGCACACAGAGGATGTTGTTATGTTGGGAACCGGGGTAAAATGCAATAAATTATTGAAAATTATTGCATTTTCTTTGTTTTTTATTATTATTTATGGAAACTGCCCCCTACCCTAGCCCCCGCTGCGTACAGTCACGGTTCAGTGACAAAGCAATGACCTCGTAACTGTGAGGCCCCAGGATCAAAACCGTGTCGATGTGCTATATTAGTGCCCTTTTGTGGGGCATTAATCCTCATTACTGTCATTTATGCCTTAAGGGCGTAGGTCCCCTAGTTGAAAGGCATAGTAGCATACACATGCTTTAGCAGTCACGCAAAACACACATTGTCAAATTATTATTCTATAAAATCTGAGAATGTATACTATTATCTAGATCTATTATTTTTAAATTATTTTAAAAATAATTCCATAAATTGGGGTAAAACAAAAATATTCAAACTATATGAGCGACATTTATATATTATATTTGTCTTTGATAATGTTGTCTAATATTGTATGATTGATTGATTGATTGATTTTTATTCGCCAAGCTTCCAACATACAATATACAAGAATAACAGATCAAGTCAGCTTGAACGGGATAACCCACGAAAGCTCGAGAGCTTATTTCCAGCGGGGTCCCCTACAGACATGTACAAAATTAATAAGTTAAAATAGCAACATCAGACTGATGATAGAAATGAAATAAGTACAAGAAGAAAAAGAAGAAGAAGAAGAAGAAAAAGAGGAGGAGGAGGAGGAATAAGAGGAAAGTAATGAGGAATTTGTAGAATTTCTATAACGTACAAAAACATAAGTATATACAAAATGGAAAAGTACGAACCAGTAGAAGAATACAAATTATATAACATTGGACGAATGGATGCACAACCTGTCCGGACACACAACGTCTGGAAATACATTCAAGATTCAAGATTATTTTATTGGTCAATGCATGCAAACATTACATAGAAATGTTGCTTCTAATGGCTATTTTGACTGTGAAAATACAAATGATAGAAAATACAATACAACATTTAATAATAGAAAACGATGTACATCAATATGGATAATTATTTATAATGTGCATGTGCCCCTCAATTTCATATTGTCTACAATTACCATGCGTCATAATATTTCCCGTCAGCTTAGATGTAGAGTCTACTAGTCTACTACAACTGAGAAAAGGAGAGACTGAGAGAGAGAGAGAGAGAGAGAGAGAGAAAGGGAGGAAAGGGAGAAAGGGAGGAAAGAGAGAAACTTGAGGAAGGGAGGGAGGGAGAGAGAGAGAGAGGGGAGGGAGAGATAGGGAAAGAGAGAGAGAGAGAGAGAGCGAGAGAGAGAGAGAGAGAGAGAGAGAGAGAGAGGGAGAGAGAGAGAGAGAGAGAGAGAGTGGTATGTATTTGTGTAATTAGTTATATTGATGATTTAAACAGATTGGACAGATATTTCTTCATTGCCAATGCTACCAGCAAGTTAAACGCTCATGTCAAGTTGATTTCTACAATCTTTAGCTTTGTACTTGAAACAACATTTTTCTTAAAGCTTGAAGTAATTTGATATTGCCTTTGACACTAAATAGAAATCAGAGATGACAGAGAGAGAGAGAGAGAGAGAGATGACTGCAAGGTTTGCGTGATGTACATAGCGCTCGACCTGTACAAGGGAAGTCATGTAGTGGTGGTTATTTTACCTGAATGCAAAAAGAAAGCATAAATACTTGTCAGTAAGCAACCAGAGGACCGACTGCTGTAGGTGATGAGGATTGATGCCTTACCAAAATAGCGCATCGACTTGGTTTCGAACCCGAGTCACCGGATTACGAGACCACTGCTCTACCAACTGTCTCTGTATATACCAACATGTAAAGTTAAAGAACACAAGAGACTATAATGGTAGTCCCATGCATCGCCAGGAGGATCATCAGTATGTTGTTTTTTTCGCAGTTTCGGCCCATTATGAACAAAACTCCCTCTTTGTGGGGAGCTAGCAGGGCAAAAGGTATTTTAAAACTTGATGCTGGGGTTACGCTTGGTCCAAAGTTTCTAAACCATTGTAAGGTCTATTCTTTTTCCCTCTTTCTCCAACTTCTGGTTGATTTCAAATAGTAGAATACGGATCTTGTGATCTTCGAGGTTCATAATACTGCATGTATAATCAGCAGTTGTATTGTAAGAATTCCATGAATCCTTTGTTTGTATGCCGTTACTAGAAAATTTCTAAACTCATCACATTCTGTAGTGACACTGTGTTCAATAAACATGAAAATGTTTACACTTCATTCTCATTATTAAACAAATTAAACAAACTTGCACATAAATCATGGACGACACGGAGTTCTAAATACAAATTGCACATTACATAGAAAATGGAATTCATTAAAAAAAACAATGAAATTGGTAAAAGTTCGATCTATCATCCCTATTAGCCAAATGTTACATAATTTTATCCAACAAATTTCTCATCTGGTTTGGAGAAAATTCACTTTGGAAAATATGTAAAGATTCTACATGTATGACTGAATTAATTATGATGTTTATGATACAAAAAGAAATATACTCTAAATGCAATGCTAAAAATTGTTAAAATGTACGAAGGACAAACCATCATAAAAGGGGTCATGTTGTTTGGCCTTCTCAGGTAATGACAATCGTTTGTCTTTTTGTAAGACTTCTTCTTATAACTAATCTCCAGGTATTAATACTCTTACTTCATGAGACCAAATGAGGAACACACACTAAAGTATAAGAGGACAAAGAGGCGAAGGAGAATAATTATTATAATTTGAAAGATGATATTAGAAAATCAAACGTAATCTACTTTTATGCGAGATACCGGCACCGGGAACATAACTGCATGAACGCGGGGAGCGCTCATGTCTCACCCCCATCAAATGACAAAAAAGGAGAAGAAAAATGTAAGAGAGAGGGAAGATAGGAATTGAGATGGCAGCGTGAAATGAAGATGATTCGACCTCTTCCAAATAATCCCCTCACTTTATGGCCCTCTTACTTTGACCTGCCTCCCCCCTCCCCCTCCCCCGAAAATAAAATGACGTCAATGTCCACTCAATCGCTGCAACCACGATATGCCACAGGGTTCCACTGTACACATACTGTAGACATGGTACAGCTAGCCAACGCCAAAACGCTGAAGTTTAGACAAAGAGGGCGCCTGTTGATATTCCTAGGATGATGACAGTACTCACGAAAGCCCCGATGTCGATGATGAGTAGAACCCGTGGTGGAGACGAACCGTCTCCTTCCTGAATCCAGAGAATAAAGAGAGGAAAAGAGAGTGAATGATTCTTGGTGTTTGGTGGAAAAGTGGTGATCCCCGTGGAGCTGCTGTGGTGTAGTGGATAAGTACATGATTCCAATATGTAATCACAAGGTACGGGGTTCGGATCCCTGTCGCAACAATAATGTCCTTTCGAAAATAATTAATATACATTTGCCACTCTCCGCCCAGGGAAGTAAATGGGCACCCGGTATGAAGAAATTCCTTAAAATATTGCTCTAGCGCCTTATCATGTTAGCTCGGCAAACGCAAATGTAGTAATATGATTGCAGGCGGCCCTCTGAAAGAATAGTACTAATACTGAAGAGGCTACCCTAATACACATATTATTATCATTATTATCATCATTATTATGATTATCATTACTATTATACAATCATTATTATCATCATTGTTATTATTATCATTACTATTGCTAATATCATTATCATAGTAGTATCATAATATTATTATATTTTCATCATCATCATCATCTTCATCATCACTATCATTATCATTTATGTTAATTTGTTTTTGTTTGTTTCTTTGTTTTCGTCTTTTTTTTGTTTTTTGTTGTTGCTGTTCTTGTTGTGTATTCAATCATTGTTTATGATTGGATAACAATAGTGTTTTTAAGTCCAAGTTGAATACATGACGATCGCAACTACTTCGAAAAATAAACTTAATTCCCCGTTGTAGGTCCTACATTATGTTCGGACTACGTGACTATGTCAACGTAGTGCTGGCACATTTCAATGGGTGACGTAAAAGGCAACTAAAACTGCTATAGGTTGATTTTTTTTAAAGTAGTTGTAATCGTTTTATATACAAGTTTTCCTTACATTGAGCTGTCCTGGCTTCTCCTTGGGGTAGAAGCGATAGATGAGGCCATTGACGACGCTGACGAAAGCGAGGATGAGCATCCCAACGATGAGGAACCGACCAAGTCTGGTCGTCGAGTAGGCGGGGACCTCTGCACTGAGCGCTGCCGACAATACCACCAAGGCGATGAGGACGGAACCCGCGAAGACGATCCGTACTCCGGCCGACGACGGACTGATCAGGAAGACGATGAGGATAAGCCATGCCGTGACCACGGAGGAGGCGATACGGCCGTGGGTCTCTCTTCGACGGACAACCAACGAGAATGTAACATCCTCGAAGGTTTCCCCCGGGCAGCAGCTGTAGTAAAAGTCAGTATGCTTTGTAGCCTTTTGGTTGATGATATCCCAAATCGGATGATCGACTGTCTCAGACAAATCAATGGAGTCTGATATCGAGTCTATGGTTATCACAGATGCGCCATACGCCCATGATCCCCATTTCAGGCTGCAGTTCTGAAAGATAGTAAGTAGAAAATGACGTATTATTCACTAATTATTATTTAATGTTTCACGTAGAATCACTGGTTGATTTTATTGTTGTAACCTTACCTTTATCATAAGAGAATTTCGAACTGTGGCTACTTTGCGGGGCGTCAAGACAATGGCTGTGAGTACCTGTGTATTATTAATCCACAGTGGTCTTAGGTCTACAGGTACATAGGACCAATGTGGTGTAGGACCAATGAGACATAGCGCCAATGAGACGAAGGTCCACAGGGACATAAGGACAATGTGGTGTAGGACCATTATGACATAGCACCAATGAGACGAAGGTCCACGTGGACATAAGGACAATGTGGTGTAGGACCATTGAGACATAGCGCCAATGAGACGAAGATCCACAGAGACAAAAGGCAATGTGGTGTAGGACCATTGAGATATAGCACCAATGAGACGAAGGTCCACAGAGCAATAAGGACAATGTGGTGTAGGACCATTGAGACATAGCACCAATGAGACGAAGGTCCACAGGGACAGAAGGACAATGTGGTGTAGGACCATTGAGACATATCACCAATGAGACGTAGGTCCACGTGGACATACGGACAATGTGGTGTAGGACCATTGAGACATAGCACCAATGAGACGAAGGTCCACAGGGACATAAGGACAATGTGGTGTAGGACCATTGAGATATAGCACCAATGAGACGTAGGTCCACATGGACATAAGGACAATGTGGTGTATGACCATTGAGACATAGCACCAATGAGACGAAGGTCCACAGGGACATAAGGACAATGTGGTGTAGGACCATTGAGACATAGCACCGATGAGACGTAGGTCCACAGGGACATAAGGACAATGTGGTGTAGGACCATTGAGACATAGCACCATTGAGATGAAGGTCCACAGGGACATAAGGACAATGTGGTGTAGGACCATTCAGATATAGCACCAATGAGACGAAGGTCCACAGGGACATAAGGACAATGTGGTGTAGGACCATTGAGACATATCACCAATGAGACGTAGGTCCACAGGGACATAAAGACAATGTGGTGTAGGACCACGGCTTAAATTAATCCAAGGCCACCAAGGCCATGGCCTTGGATGCCCCTTTGATTGGCCTCAATGCCCCTCTCATTGGCCTTGGAGATTTTTTGTGCCCTTTCCAGTTCTTCCCATTTGTGCTGTAATATAGCAATGTGCCCTGCAGAAAAGTGGCCTTGCCCTAAAAATGTTGAAATTTAAGGCCTGTAGGACCATTGAAATTTAGCACCAATGAGACTAAGGTCCACAGGGACATAAGGACAATGTGGTGTAGGACCATTGAGACATATCACCAATGAGACGTAGGTCCACAGGGACATAGGACCAATGTGGTTTAGGACCAATGAGACATAGCACAAATGAGACGTAGGTCTAAAGGACGTAAGGACAATGTGATATAGGACCGATGAGACATAACACCAATGAGACGTAGGTCCACATGGACATAAGGACAATGTGGTGACATGATTGTAAAGGGGCATTAGACACACGGAAGATATGACCAACAGCTCGGGTATGACAAAGGTCCTAGATTAATAATAATAACAATAATAATAGTAGCTAGTTCTTATATAACGCTTTTTAGGACCGAAGGCTCTCTCAAAGCGCTTTACAGATATATATATTATTACCCCGGTCATAGTAGGCCTAATAAGCGCCACATGCGCCACGACGTGGCGTATATGAGCGTTTTTAATATATATCGTTCGTTCGTACGTACGAATCAAGAGTAAAATCAAAATTGTAGTCTTACGTGTTGATCGTAGGGGTAGTCTGTCAGATCCACCGTACAGGTTGCTTCAAGATGCATTGGTGGGTCATAGAAGACACTACCATCAGCGTACACAATAGCGGAAACTCCACTCCTCAGGCTTTCACTCGGTGAGTTACTAGAATGGGAAGTAAACAAGATCTTGAATGACAGACAACGACATTCTGAACGACAAATGAAATGGTATTAGAATTATTCATCACCTGATCACATTTTTGAAACGGCAAATAATAGTAACGTGCAAACTCAACCGTAAACATATTTACGACACCTTCTTCGGAGACAATACGCTACATTGTTAACATTTTTTTTAAAGCTAGCTTAAAATCCTGGACCCAACTCCTTGCCTAACACCAGGCGCGTACGCAGGGGGGGGGGGGGGGGGTCGACCCCCCTTCAATTTGTTTTATTAAATAAAAAAATAAAAATATATATATGATTTTTATTTTAAATTATAGTAATGGGTGACCAAAAAAGGTGACTTTACCCCCTCCCCTCTTATTCAGCGGCTGGCTGAGTTCTTACGAAATTTTTCATCAAATCCTGGACACAAAAAAAAATATGTGCTCTTTTTGATGTCGCCTGCCCGACATTTAAATTTCCGACTTCTAATTCTGGCGAGAAAGAGACAGAGTTATTAAAAGTACATTTCAAGTCTTTTCATTCCCTTATTAAAGTGACAACGTAAATTTGTTTATAAACCCCTTCGCTACCCGAATACGAGATACCGTATATCCCCCTGGGGTGTTTCACAAAGATCCTAAGTCGAACTTAATTCTAAGATGGACTTAACAATTATGGAGAGCCATTTGTAGCCATAAAATAAAGTATATTTAAAAGCAAAATTTGAATTATTTTTAGAGATTTTATAAATTCTACATCAAGAACATGAAATCTTCTTGATAATAGAAAACATGAATGATTCGAATCAACATTTTATGCCTTTTATAAAGTCCAACTTAGAGATAAGTTCAACTTAGGATCTTTGTGAAACATCCCCCCTGTATCCTTATGATAATACCTGTTGAAGAGTGTTATATCAGGCACCCAGATTTCTGAGGGAAGCAAGTGAAGTTTGGTGATGTTTCCGCATGTGGTTGGATCCCATGCTAACCTCGGGTCACTCCAAGCCTTTCAAAAAGGAATAAAAAGGACAATGGTAAAAGCAAAATAATTGTATTGATATATTAAGTGATAAATTCCATTTGTATATTTTCATGAAATTCTTCCTCCATAACACACATTTCCCTCTCCATTAGATTTTTAATATCAATTAACCTGATCAGGGCCGCGTTGCATGTACAATTTAGCATTTATGGTAAGTTTGCCATCAATATTAAATACCATGGCAACATCACTCAACAGTCAATCAAATCAAGGTTTTCATGGAATATACCATCAACGCTAAGTTTTATGCACCGGGCCCATGCAAACCTATTGAATTGTTATTCTCCTACCTTGTTTAATCAAAATGTTCCATTACTTCCAATGCTCTCCTTTTTAAGTGTGTGTGTGTGTGTGTGTGGGGGGGGGGGGTGGAGATGGGAGGGGGGTATGTTTGAAAAAAATCAGGCTAAATCGTCCCCCATACCTAACCGAGAAAAAAAATATCCCCCCCTGATCGAAGGTTATTCTCGAAGTTTCAAATTAACGAATGGTTGGATAATCGCACCTTTGATTTGATTTGATTTGATTTTATTTCCTTCTGCATTCATGTAAGTTTACAGTTTTTCGATAACAGAAATATAAAGTACAATAAGTATTTTACTGACAATGAATAATAAATTAGCAAATACATATATATATATATATATATATATATATATATATATATATATATATATAAACTGTTATTTTCAAAAATGAAATGATAAACTGTCACAAATACTTAATTTCCTCAAACATTATAACACATTATACAATTATTTGCGGAAGAAGGACTGTCATTGTAAGCAGATTGCTTGATATTACGACAGCCCCAGACAAAAACTCATGAAATTTATTAACACATTTATTAAACAGAGACATAGCAATTGAAAAATACAAATTTCGATGATTGTGATGCAGATGAGGATGATGATGATGATGAAGATGATGATGATGATGATGATGATGATGATGACGATGGTGATAATGATTCGAATGAAAGAAGAGATGACATGATAAAGAATGAAGAGTTGACACAAAAATTCTACCTTGAGTATTCTGATAATAACTTTGGAATGATGATGATGATTTATGAATTGACTCACTTTCTTTTTATTTTATTCTTATCATGACGTTAAGTTACTATTCACATTTCTTATCGTATAACACAAAGTTAACTGAATACTCGCATGAATTTTATTGAGCAAAGTTGACATTCATTTACACTTCAAAAATCAGAAGCGGATTTTGTGTGTGTGTGGAGGTATACCGCGTCATATACGACCGATTCTCAAAAACATCGAACCTTGGCATAAACAAACTGTCAGATTCTGAATATTGAATTACGGGAGAGATAGTAAACAAATAATAGGCCTAAATAATGACAATATAACACAACTATCGCGGTATAAAATAGGACTTTTATTTTACTTTTATTTTATATGATATCACTTACTAAATTCATCCATACGTTCATCTGAATTGTTCCTTTGAATAAATCCTTTAAGAAAAAAGTAACAATAGATTAAATTAAAAAACAGACAATGGCGCCATAAAGATGACCTCTTCATTGTATGTCATGAGGGTCAAAGTGAGTGCTTAGACTTCACACAATGTAAGTTACACATTGATATACTTTGTGTGACAATTATATCTAATTTAAAAAAAAAAAAAAAATCTTCTTAGTAGTCATTTCATATTCTATTTCTCTCTGATATATCACTAACTTTGTAAAAAAAAATATTGGCAAAAACTTGAACCAGATGTATATTTCAGTTATCTACTTGCATATGCAATATCTTTAATATTGATATTAATACATTTGATATTGATACATTCCTAGCATTCTAAATTCCCAATTATTTTACTATCTGACCAGTCTGAACAGTGGTTATGAATTACAGAGGGGAGTGATTTGCAATTTCAACCACTAACCCCCCCCCAAAAAAAAAAAAAAAAAAAAAAAAAATTAAAAAATTATATCATTATCATTATTATTTGATTATATTTTGTTGTCATTATTATTGTTATAATTGTTATTATTGTGATTGTTAATAATAATAATAATAATAATAATAGGTTCTTGTACAGTATATCGCTCATCATCTGTCAGACTTTACACTCCCGGCGCTTTTTGTTATAATTATTATTATTTTTATCATTATTAGTTGTAATAGTACCGTTATTATTATTATTATTATTAGTGTTATTAGTACTGATTTAATCGTTATAACTATTATCATTAGAAGTATTATTGTCTTATTATCAATATTACTAGCATAATTATTATTAATAATGTTATTATTATTATTATTACTATTATTCTATTAGTAATTGTACTAACCAGTCCTCGAAGCTTCGTCAGTGACATTCCCAGATTTACTCGGTTAGCCTGATCATAGTATGGAAGAGTTTCTTTACCGGCATAGGTTGAGAGGAGGTTTGCTCTTAGGAGAGCGTGATCATACCATTCAGAATCTAAAAGAAAAAGAAGAAAAAAACGAACAAAAGATAAAATATTGCAACTTTCATAGAATAGAGGTTGTGTCTGGACCCCTAATCAAGCAAAGACCCCCCTAACGATGTATATATGATGTGTCCCCCATATCCCCTTTTTGGGGAAACTGCTATGTTTTTTTGGACAGGTATTTGTTCTTTGTTGTTGTTGTTGTTGTTGGGTTTATCGGCGCTGATTTCCGCCAGGCTGTGCGTGAGGGCGTCTTGCTCTCACTTCTGCTGCTCTACGTTGCTGTGATTATGTCCCCCCCCCCCAAAAAAAAGAATATATATCCATTCTAAGAAACGTGGTTTCGTCACTGGATTATTACAATAAGAAAAATAAGATGTAGAATTCATACTATCCTGGGCGGTGGTGCATGTCAGCGACGCCACGCCTAGCAGGATCAGGTAGCCATAGAAAAACTTCATGATGTAGATATTAATCTGAAGAGGAATACAATGTGGAAATTTTCAAATCAATTTTGTTGACACATTTTATAACAAGACAGTTTAATATGCTGATTAGGCGGAACAAAATACACGCTGATAACATATTACTAGAGAAGGGGTTACGATGTTAACAGAGGAATTCCTTGTTGTCGCCATACATCACTTTATTATTGCTTTCTGTATTTTTGTTTAATTTTTTTTCAACGAGTATTTTCAAATGTTTAGTGATGGCTTTAAGGCATTTAGGTAAACTATAGGTATCAGATTGGGAATAAAACTCATTGAAAAATACCAACAAATAAATACTTGCCTTCTTTTCGAATCTCGAAACACAAAGTGGCAAAATCTGCGTCGAAATAAAACATGAGTCGGTCTACCAACAGAAGCTTTAGATGAAGTGGGAAGGTTAGGTCTTTTGAAGTGTATGATTAAGAGATAACCTTAATAACTTGTTGCTGGTAGGTATAATCCAGGTCGAAGATGCGTTGGGGGCGTGGACCCCAATAAACGAATAGAGGCACCAGTGGCGGATCCAGGGGGGGGGGGCCGGGGGGCCCGGCCCCCCCTTGAGAAAAAAATCATGCAAAATCACCTGATTTTTACCTTTTTTTTTGGGGGGGGGGTGCAAATTTAAAATTTTTCGAGGGCCCCCCCCAAAAAAAAAATGTGCTCACTACCCCCCCCCCCCCCCCACCCCCCACTGAGCGACTTTTCGGCCGGCGCGATTTTCAAATTTTCGGGAGCAAAAAAAAAAAAGTTGGTCCCCTCCCTTAAGAAATCCTGGATCCGCGCCTGAGAGGCACTTTGATTTCCACACTCCATCCGCAGTGGCTGATTTAGGGGAGGGGCATCCCCTCTTTAAAAACCCAATTGAAATACCTTCAGAACAAAACAATCACAAATATAAAGAATAGTGCTCCCTTATTAATAGTTTCATTTTTATACTAATTCATAATAGTTCATTATAATTATTTCTGTAATTTACATCATGTTTCCACCTTCACATGGAGGGGAGGGAGGACGGAGGGGGGGGGGGGGGGGAACCTATTTTCCAACCGCAGGGATGATCCAACAATATTGTTGCGGCAACGATATTGCTCTTCTTCTTTTCCATCTTTTTTTTCTTCTTCTTCTTCTTCTTCTTCTTCTTCTTCTTCTTCTTCTTCTTCTTATTTTTCTTCTTTTCTTTGTTCCCCTCCAAATATTACACTTAGGTTAGGATTAACGTTGGGGCTAGATTTAGGGTTAAGGGTTAGGATTAGGTACAGTGTTTAATCCATGATTGAAGTTAGGTAATCGATGCTGACCGAAGCATCTTGTCGATAAAGCATTCGTCGCCAGAGCATTTGTCATAAACTCCGATTGGATGGGTCTGTATTCTGGATCTTCATCTACAATGGTCTGAATTTTTAATAATTCAGGTTCACTGGACCGTGGTCTAAAATCACCTATTTTGTTAAAATTTTGTAAAAATTTGTACTGCGGACTATTCTTACTTGTTATACTCGATGGTTGAACAATTGGTAAGCCCCACGTTGGGTTACCATTTTAGTAAAATACGGACCAAGATATGAGGTTTGCCTTCCCCACGGTGGTTTTGACATGGTTCTATCATCGGTTGTAGTAATTGCAACTGCCAGCAGATTATTACAAGTTAAGTATATCGTCAGCAGTTCCGTACTTGAAACGACTAAACTGAAAATAATTTGTAGGGTCTAGAGTAAATTGATATTAACTACAGTGGAGAAAGGAGTACAGAAATGACATTGGATACTTTTTGAGACAAAGTCAAGGAAGAGTGAAACGAAATAAAAGAAAGGAGTATATATTATAATGGCTTCTTCGTTTGAGAAATAAAAAGGCGGATATTAACTGTCTACAATATTCAATATCGGAGAAATTATTGCAGTGCATTTCAAATTAGTTTGTTATGCAGGTGTTTTTTTAATTAAGGATTCAAAATTTGAAAAAAGCTGTCTCTTACTGACGTTCAAAGTATTTTTCTTCCTGATCTCATTTTCCATAGCATTTTGAACGATAATTTTTTCTCCTCTTCTTCTTCTTCTTCTTCTTCTTCTTCTTCTTCTTCTTCTTCTTCTTTTTCTCTTTGTCTTCCTCGTGTTCTTCTCCTAATTGTGCGCAATGACGTAGACTATAAAGGGCGGAGCCGCCAAACTTCCGTTTTTTCCCTTCTAGTCCCACCCTCCCCAACACAAAAAAAATGTATTAATAAGAATCCCCTAATTATATGCAAATTGTTTTTTCCCTTATAGTCCACATGCATTGGGGGAAGCATGGCAAAAACGGGGGGGGGGGGGGGCGGGAGTGGAGCGTAGGAACTCAAAACTTTTGTCTATCCTTAGGAAAGACATTTTACCTAGACTTGTCTCTCTCGACCCATGTGTGGTATATGTGATAAACGAGTAGGGATTCACAATGCACCATTTAGGGTCAGTGGCATATATTTATGGTCAAGCCATTGATGCATGAGAAGGCGTAAGCGTCTCCTCCCCCCTCCCTTTTCTTTTCTCTCTCTCTCTCTCTTTCTCTCACCCCTCCCTCCCTTCCTTCCTCTCTTTCCTCCCTTTCTCTCTCCTAGTCTCTCTCTTTCTCCGTTCTAGTAGACTAGTAGACTCTATACATCCTGGAAAATACTTGTTTGGCACAGGGGTTCTCTCCCACAAGATCCACGTCGACCTTTCCCCCCTTCTCAGGAGTGTAGGGGTGGATGGAGTGCCCCCCATCTAACTATGATTCACCTCTCTACTGTTTATGACGAAATAATTTCACTGTGTAATTTTTATTTAGAGTATGCGTATTTCTATCCGTCTCTATCGTCATCTGTTTATTACAATGATATTTACGAATATACATATAGGCCTATTTAAAAAAAAAAAATATTATTGTTTAAATCATTATTATTATATTTTCGTTATTAATGTCATTATCATAATTAATTGTAATGTAATTATAATTATAGTTAATTGTTATCATTATTATTATCATCATCATTATTATTATCATTATTACTATTATTATTATTATTAGTAGTAGTAGTAGTAGTAGTGATAGAAGTAGTATTAGTAGTAGTAATAGTAGTAGACTACTACTAGTAGTAGTAGTAGTAGTAGGGGTGGTAAAAGTATTAGTAGACTAGTAGTAGTACTTTAGCAGTACTAGTAGTAGTAGTAGTAGTAGTAGTAGTAGTAGTAGTATCATTATCACCATTATTATTATCATCATCATCATCATCTATACAATGTCCATAATATGCCTGTGTCTCCAACTTCTGGTTGATTTCAAATAGTAGAATACGGATCTTATGGTCTTTGAGGTTCATAATACTGCATCTATATAATTAGCAGTTGTATTGTAAGAATTCCATGAATCCTTTGTTTGTTGTCCGTTACCAGGAACATTTTTAAATTCATCACATTCTGTGGGTACACTGTCTTTAATAAACATGAAAATGTTCACACTTTATTCTCATTGTTGTGGGCAAAAGGGTTGTTTTTATTCATTCGATCCATATTATTAAAAACTGAAAAAGAAAAACATGAATCATGCCTCAAACTGTAAAGTTGATTAATGAATAAAAGAAAACTTAAACATGAATTATGGACGACAAGCATGGAGTTCTATATACAAATTGCACATTACATAGAAAATGGAATTCCTTCAGAAAACAATGAAATTGGTAAAACTTTGATCTATCATCCCCATTGACAAAATGTAATATAATATTTCCAACAAATTTCTCATCTGGTTTGGAGAAAGTTCACTTCGGACAATGTGTAAAGGTTTTATTATTTATTTGACATGTGTACTGAAATAATTATGATGTTTATGATATTAAAAGAAACAAAATGCAATGTTAAAGATTCTAACAATGTACGAAGGACCAACCACCATAAAAGGGGTAGTTTAGCCTTCTCAGGTAATGACAATCATATGTCTTTATGTATGACTTCTTCTTAAATAATAATCTCCAGATACTAATACTGTACAACAACTGAGGAACACCCACCGCAATATATGAAGACAAAGAGGAGAAGGAGAATGATTATAATTTAAAAGATGATATTAGAAAAACAAATACAATCTGCTTATAACGAGATACCACGAGGTATACAACAACGTAGCGACAGGGCCGTAGGGACTCATGCCCCCCCCCCCAGTCCCAATCAAATGAGCAAGAATGAAAAGAGAAGTGAGAGAGAAACTCCTCTCACATTATGGCCCTCTCAAATTTACATGCCTCCCCTCCCCTCTCCCCCGAAAAATAAAATGATGTCAGTGCCCGCTCAATCGCTGCACCCACGATATGCCACAGGGTTCCACTGTACACATGGTACAGCTAGCCAACGCTGAAGTTTAGACAAAGAGGGCGCCTGTTGATATCCCCAGGATGATGGCAGTACTCAGGAAAGCCCCGATGTCGATGATGAGCAGAACCCGTGGTGGAGATGAACCGTCTCCTTCCTGAATACAGAAGCGAAACAGAGGAAAAGAGATTGAATGTTTCTTGGTGTTTGGTGGAAAGGTGGTGATCCCTGTGGAGGTTTTGTGGTGTAGTGCATGATAAGTACATGATACCAATATGAATCACAAGGTACGGAGTTCGAATCCCTGTCACAACAATAATGTCTTTTCGCAAAGCAATAATCTACATTTGCCACTCTCCGCCCAGGGAAGTAAATGGGCACCCAGTAGGAAGAAACTCCTTAAATGCTCTAGCGCCTTATCATGGTACCTCGGCAAACGCAGGGGTAGTAAAATGATTGCAGGCGGCCCTCTGAAAGAATAGTATCGATACTGAAGAGGCTACACTAATACACATATTATTATCATTATCATTAACATTATTATCATTATCATTAGTATTATATATTATTATCATTATTATCATTATCATTGATATTATTATCATTACTATTATGTTATTATTATTGTTATATTATTATTAGTAGTAGTATTATTGGCATTATTTTCATCATTGTCATAATCGTTATCAAGTATCTTAATTTGTTTTAAAATGTGTTTGTTTCTTTGTTTCCGTCTTTGATGTTGTTTTGGTTGCTGCTCTTGTTGTATATTCAATCGTTGTTTATGATTGGATACCAAAAGTGTTTTTAAGTCCAAGTTGAATATAAGACGATCGCAACTACTTCGAAAAATAAACTCAATTCCCCGTTGTAGGTCCTACATATATTATGTTCGGACTACGTGACTATGTCAACGTAGTGTTTACACATTTCAATGGGTGACGTAAAAGGCAACTGAAATTGCTATAGGTTCATTTTTTTTTAAAAGTAGTTGCGATCGTTTTATATACAAGTTTTCCTCACAATGAGCTGTCCTGGCTTCTCCTTGGGGTAAAAGCGATAGATGAGGCCATTGACGACGCTGACAAGAGCGAGGATGAGCATCCCAACGATGAGGAACCGACCAAGTTTGGTCGTCGAGTAGGCGGGGACCTCTGCACTGAGCGCTGCCGACAGTACCACCAAGGCGATGAGGACGGAACCCGCGAAGACGATCCGTACTCCGGCCGACGACGGACTGATCAGGAAGACGATGAGGATAAGCCATGCCGTGACCACGGAGGAGGCGATACGGCCGTGGGTCTCTCTTCGACGGACAACCAACGAGAATGTAACATCCTCGAAGGTTTCCCCCGGACAGCAGCTGTAGAAGTCAGTGTGCTTTGTAGCCTTTGTGTTGATGATATCCCAAATCGGATGATCGAATGTCTCTGACAAATCAATGGAGTCTGATAACGAGTCTATGGTTATCAAAGATGCGTCATATGCCCATGATCCCCATTTCAGGCTGCAGTTCTGAAAGATAGTTAGTAGAAAATGACATAGTACTCACTAATTATTATTTAATGTTTCACGTAGAATCACTGGCTGATTTTATTTTTGTAACCTTTATCATAAGAGAATTTCGAACTCTGGCTACTTTGCGGGGCGTCAAGACAACGGCTGTGAGTACCTGTGTATTATTAATCCACAGTGGTCTTAGGTCCACATGGACATAAGGACAATGTCGTGTAGGACCAATGAGACAAAGCGCCAATGAGACGAAGGTCCACATGGACATAAGGACAATGTGGTGTAGGACCATTGAGACATAGCACCAATGAGACGAAGGTCCACAGGGACATAAGGACAATGTGGTGTAGGACCATTGAGATATAGCACCAATGAGACGAAGGTCCACATGGACATAGGACCAATGTGGTGTAGGACCAATAAGATATAGCACCAATGATACGAAGGTCCACAGGGACATAAGGACAATGTGGTGTGGGACCATTGTGACATAGCACCAATGAGACGGAGGTCCACAGGGACATAAGGACAATGTGGTGTAGGACCATTGTGACATAGCACCAATGAGACGGAGGTACACAGGGACGTAAGGACAATGTGGTGTAGGACCATTGAGACATAGCACCAATGAGACGAAGGTCCACAGGGACATAAGGACAATGTGGTGTAAGACCATTGAGACATAGCACCAATGAGACGAAGGTCCACAGGGACATAGGACTAATGTGGTGTAGGACCAATGAGACATAGCACCAATGAGACGTAGGTCCACATGGACATAGGACCAATAAGACATAGCACAAATGAGACGTAGGTCTAAAGGACATAAGGACAATGTGATATAGGACCGATGAGACATAGCACCAATGAGACGTAGGTCCACATGGACATAAGGACAATGTGGTGACATGATTGTAAAGGGGCATGAGACACACACGGAAGATGTGACCAACAGCTCAGGTATGACCAAGGTCCAAGATTAATACTAGGAGGCTTAATATATAAGCGCCACATGCGCCACGACATGACGTATAGATGAGCGTTTTTAAAATATAATGTTCGTTCGTACGTACGAATCAAGAGTAAATCAAGATTTTAGCCTTACGTGTTGATCGTAGGGATAGTCTGTCAGATCCATCGTACATGTTGCTTCAAGATGCATGGGTGGGATATAGAGGACACTACCATCAGCGTACGCAATAGCGGAAACTCCACTCATCAGGCTTTCACTCGGTGAGTTACTAGAATGGGAAGAAAACAAGATCTTGAATGACAGACAAAGACATTCTGAACGACAATTGAAATGGTATTAGAATTATTCATCACCTGATCGCATTTTTGAAACGGCAAATAATAGTAACGTGCAAACTCAACCGTAAACATATTTACGACACCTTCTTCGGAGACAATACGCTACAATTTTTTTTAAAGCTAGCTTAAAATCCTGGACCCAACTCCTTACCTAACACCAGGCGTGTACGCAGGGGGGGGGGGGGGGGGGGGGGGGGTTGGGGGTCGACCCCCCTTCAATTTGTTTTATTAAATACAAAAAAATACATATATAATTTTTTTTTAAATCATAGTAATGGGTGACAATACGCTACATTTTTAACATTTTTTTTAAAGCTTGCTTAAAATCCTGGACCCAACGTCTTACCTAACACCAGGCGCGTACGCAGGGGGGGGGGGGGGGGGGGGGGGTTGGGGGTCGACCCCCCTTCAATTTGTTTTACTAAATAAAAACAAATATATATATATATATATATATATATATATTTTTTTTTAATTATAGTAATGGGTTACCCTAAAAAGGTTACCTTACCCCCCCCCCCTCTTATTCAGCGGCTGGCTGAGTCGTTGCGAAATTTGTCATCAAATCCTGGACACACACAAAAAAGTGCTCTTTTTGATGTCGCTTGCCCGACATTTAAATTTCCGACTTCTAATTTTGGCGAGAAAGAGACAGAGTTATTAAAGTACATTTCAAGTCTTTTTATTCCATTATTTAAGTTACAACGTAAATTTGTTTATAAACCACTTCGCTACCCGAATACGAAGTACCGTATATCCCCCCTGGGGTGTTTCACAAAGATCCTAAGTCGAACTTAACTCTAACTTGGACTTACAAAATTATGGAGAGCCATTTGTAGCCTTAAAATAAAATATATTCAAAAGCAAAATTTGAATTATTTTAGACATTTTATAAATTCTACATCAAGAACATGAAATCTCCTTGATAATAGAAAACATGAATGATTCGAATCAATATTTTATGCCTTTTAAGTCCAACTTAGAGATAAGTTTAACTTAGGATCTTTGTGAAACAGCCCCCAGTATCCCAATGACAATACCTGTTGAAGAGTGTTATATCAGGCACCCAGATTTCTGAGGGAGGCAGGTGAAGTTTTGTGATGTTCGCATTTCCGCATTCGGCTGCTATCCATGCCAACCTCGGGTCACTCCAACCCTTTCAAAAAGGAATAAAAAGGACAATGGTAAAAGCAAAATAATTATATTGATATGAAGTGATAAATTCCATTTGTATATTTTCATGAAATTCTACCTCCATAACACTCATCTCACTCTCCCTTGGATTTTTAATATCAATTAACCTGATCAGGGCCGTGTTGCATGTACAGCGTAGCATTTTTGGTAACTTTGCCATCAATATTAAATACCATGGCAACATCACTCAACAGCCAATCGAATCAAGGTTTTCATGGAAGTTACCATCAACGCTTTTATTGTTTTATTGTTTTATGCACCGGGCCCATGCAGACCTATCAACTAATTTTTTTATTCTCCTACCTTTTTTAATCAAAATGCTCCATTACTTCCAATGCTCTCCCTTTTATGTGTGTGTGTGGGGGGGGGGGGGAGGTGGGAGGGGGTATATATGTTAAAAATATCAGGCTAAATCGTCCCCCATACCTAACCGAGAAAAAAATACCGCCCCTGATCGAAGGTTATTCTCGAAGTTTCAAATTAACGAATGGTTGGATGAGCGCACCTTTGATTTGATTTGATTTGATTTGATTTTCTTCTGCATTCATGTAAGTTTACAGCTTTTCGATAACAAAAATAGAATGTACAATAAGTATTTTACTGACAATGAATAATAAATTAGCAAATACATATATATATATATATATATATATATATATATATATATATATATATATATATATATATATATAAACTGTTATTTTCAAAAATGAAATGATAAACTGTCACAAATACTTAATTTCCTCAAACATTATAACACATTATAAATTATTTGCGGAAGAAGGACTGTCATTGTAAGCAGATTGCTTGATATTACAACAGCCCCAGACAAAAACTCATGAAAATTATTAACACATTTATTAAGCAGAATAGGTAATTGAAAATACAAATTTCGATGATGGTGATGCAGATGAGGATGCAGATGAGGATGATGATGATGATGAAGATGATGATTATGATGATGATGATGATGGCGATGGTGGTAATGATTCGAATGAAAGAAGAGATGACATGATAAAGAATGAAGAGTTGACACAGAAATTCTACCTTGAGTATTCTGATAATAACTTTGGAATGATGATGATGATTTATGAATTGACTCATTTTCTTTTTATTTTATTTTTTATCATGACGTTAAGTTACTATTCTCATTTCTTATCGTATAACACAAAGTAAGCTGAATACTCGCATGAATTTTATTGAGCAAAGTTGACATTCTTTAACACTTAAAAATTCAGAAGCGGATTTTTTTGTGTGTGGAGGTATACCGTGTCATATACGGACGGTCAGATTCTGAACATTGAATGACGGGGGAGATAGTAAACAAATAATAGGCCTAAATAATGACAATATAACACAACTATCGCGGTATAAAAAGAAGTACTTTTATTTTACTTTTTATTTTATATGATATCACTTACTAAATTCATCCATACGTTCATCTGAATTGTTCCTTTGAATAAATCCTTTAAGAAAAAAGTAACAATAGATCAAATTAAAAAAACAGACATTAAAATGACCTCTTTATTGTATGTCATGAGGGTCAAAGTGAGTGCTTAGACTTCACACAATGTAAGTTACACATTGATATGCTTTGTGTGACAATTATATCTAATTTATTAAAAAAAAAAATTCTTAGTAGTCATTTCATATTCTATAAGTATTTATCTCTGATATATCACTAACTTTGTAAAAAAAAGATTAGCAAAAATTTGGACCAGATGTGTATTTCAGTTATCTACTTGTATATGCAATATGTTTAATATTGATATTGATAAATTTGATATTTATACATTCCTAGCATTCTAAATTCCCAATTATTTTACTATCTGACCAGTCTTGAACAGTGGTTATGAATTACAGAGGGGAGTGATTTGCAATTTCAACCCCTCATCCCCCCAACAAAAAATATCATTATCATTATTATTTGATTATATTTTGTAGTCATTATTATTGTTATAAGTGTTATTATTGTGATTGTTAATAATAATAATAATAATAATAATAATAATAATAATAATAATAGGGACTTGTACAGTATATCGCTCATCATCTGTCAGACTTTACACTCCCGGCGCTTGTTGTTATAATTATTATTATTGTTAGCATTATTAGTAGTAATAGTACCGTTATTATTATTATTATTTTTAGTGTTATCAGTACTAATTTAATAATTATAACTATAATCATTAGAAGTATTATTGTCTTATTATCAATATTACTAGCATAATTATTATTAATAATATTATTATTATTATTATTACTATTATTCTATTAGTAATTGTACTAACCAGTCCTCGAAGCTTCGTCAGTGACATTCCCAGAGTTACTTGGTTAGCCTTATCATAGTGTGGAAGAATTCCGTTACAGGGATAGGTCCAGGATGAGAGGAGGTTTGCTGCTCTTAGGATAGCGTGATCACATTCTGATTCAGAATAGGAATCTAAAAGAAAAAGAAGAAAAAAAAACGAACAAAAGACAAAATATTGCAACTTTCATAGGATAGAGGTTGTGTCTGGACGCCTAATCAAGCAAAGACCACCCCCTAACGATTTATATATGATGTGTCCCCCACATCCCCTTTTTTGGGGAACTGCTATGTATTTTGGACAGGTATTTGTTTTGTCCCCCCCCCTAATATACCCATTCTAAGAAACGTGGTTTCGTCACTGGATTATTACCATAAGAATAAGATGTAGAATTCATACTATCCTGGGCGGTGGTGCATGTCAGCGACGCCACGCCTAGCAGGATCAGGTAGCCATAGAAAAACTTCATAACGGAGATATTAATCTGAAGAGGAATACATTGTGGAAATTTTCAAATCAATTTTGTTGACACATTTTGTAACAAGACAGTTTAAGATGCTGATTAGGCTGAACAAAATACACGCTGATAACATTTTACTAGAGAAGGGGTTACGATGTTAACAGAGGAATTCCTGGTTGTCGCCATACATCACTTTATTATTGCTTTCTGTATTTTTGTTAATTTTTTTTCAACGAGTATCTTCAAATGTTTGGTGATGGCTTTAAGGCATTTAGGTTAACTATAGGTATCAGATTGGGAAGAATACTTATTGAAAAATACCAACAAATAAATACTTGCCTTCTTTTCGAATCTCGAAACACAAAGTGGCAAAATCTGCGTCTACAGCAAAAACATGAGTCGGTCTACCAACAGAAGCTTTAGATAAAATGGGAAGGTTAGGTCTTTGGAAGTGTATGATTAAGAGATAAACTTAATACTGGGCGCTATTTTGTTGCTGGTAGGTATAATCCAGGTCGAAGATGCGTTGGGGGCGTGGACCCCAATAAACGAATAGGGGCACTCTGATTTTTCCGCAGAGGAGGGGCGTCCCCTATTTAGAAACCCAATTGAAATACCTTCAAAACAAAACAACCACAAATATAAAGAATAGTGCTCCCTTATTAATAGTTTCATTTTTTCATCATGTTTCCACCTTCACATTGAGGGGAGGGAGGAGGGCGGGGGACCTACTTTCCAACCGCAGGGATGATCCAACAATATTGTTGCGGCAACGATATTGCTCTTCTTCTTCTTTTCCATCTTTTTCCTCCTTCTTCTTCTTCTTCTTCTTCTTCTTCTTCTTCTTCTTTTTCTTTTCTTTGTTCCCCTCCAAATATTATAGTTAGGTTATGGTTAATTACGCTGGGGCTAGGTTAAGGGTTATGGTTAGGATTAGGAACAGTGTTTAATCCATGATTGAAGTTAGGTAATCGATGCTGACCGAAGCATCTTGTCGATAAAGCATTTGTCGCCAGAGCATTTTATCGTAAACTCCGATTGGATGGGTCTGTATTCTAGATCTTCAACTACAATGGTCTGTATTTTATACTAATTCAGGTTAACTCGACCGTGGTCTAAAATCGCCTATATTTTTAAGGAAAACTTGCACTGCGGATTATTCTCCCTTGTTTAAACCCGATGGTCGAACAATTGGTAAGCCCCGCGTTAGTTTACATTTTAGTAAAATACGGACCAAGATCCGAGGTTTGCCTTCCCCGCGGTGGCTTTGACATGGTTCTATCATCGGTTGTAGTAATTGCAACTGCCAGCAGATTATTACAAGTTTAGTATATCATCAGCAGCTTCGTACTTGAAACTACTAAACTGAAAATAATTGTTATGGTCTAGAGTAAATTGATGTTGACTACCTTGTAAAATGGAGTACAGAAATGACATTGGATACTTTTTGAGACAAAGTCAAGGAAGAGTGAAACAAAATAAAAGAAAGGAGTATATATTCTCATGGCTTTTTCGTTTGAGAAATAAAAAGGCAGATATAAACTGTCTACAATATTTAATATCGGAGAAATTATTGCAGTGCTTTTCAAATTTGTTTGTTTTATACGTGTTTTTTTTTTAAATAAAGGATTCAAAGTAAAGTTTGAAAAGCAGTCGCTTACTGACGTTTAAAGTATTTTTCTTCCTCATCTCATTTTCCATAGCAGTTTAAACGATAATATGTTTTCCTCTTCTCCTTTTTCTTCTTCTCCTTTTTCTCCTTTTTTTCCTTCTTCTTTTTATCTTTTTCTTCCTCGTGTTCTTCTCCTTATTGTGTGCAATGACGTAGACTATAAAGGGCGGAGCCGCCAAACTTCCTTTTTTCCCCTTCCAGTCCCACCCTCCCAAACACAAACAAAAAAATAATAAGAATCCCCTAATTATATGGAAATAGTTTTTTCCCTTATAGTCCACATTCATTGGGGAAGCATGGCAAAAGCGGGGGGGGGGGGGGGGGGGCGGGTGGAGCATATGAACTCAAAACTTTTGTCTATCCTTAGGGAAATACATTTTACCTAGACTTGTCTCTTTCGACCCAGGTGTGGTATGCATGATAAATGAGTAGGACTACCAAAGGATTCACAATGCACCATTTAGGGTTAGTGGCGATTATGGTCCAGCCATTGAGGCATGAGAAGGCGTTAGCGTCTCCTCTCCATTTCTCTCTCTCTCTCTGTCTGTCTGTATATATATATCTCTCTCTCTATCTCTCTCTCTCTTCCTCCCTCCCTTCCTCTCTTTCTTCCCTTTCTCTCTCCTAGTCTCTCTCTTTCTCAGTTCTAGTAGACTAGTAGACTCTATACATCCTGGAAAATACTTGTTTGGCACAGGGGTTCTCTCCCACAAGATCCACCTCGACCTTTTCTCCCTTCTCAGGAGTGTAGGGGTTTGATGAAGTGCCCCCCTCCCCTCTGACTACGATTCATCTCTCTACTTTTTATGACGAAATAATTTTAGTAATTTTAATAATTATAGTATGCGTATTTCTATCCGTCTCTATCGTCATCTGTTTATTACAATGATATTTACAAATATACATATAGGCCTTTAAAAAAAAAAATTTATTATTGTTTAAATCATTATTATTATATTTTCGTTATTAATGTCATTATCATAATTAATTGTAATGTAATTATAATTTTAATGATTATTAATGTTAATTGTTATCATTATTATTATCATCATCATTATTATTATCATTATTACTATTATTATTATTATTATTATTATTATTAGTAGTAGTAGTAGTAGTAGTAGTAGTAGTAGTAGTAATGATAGAAGTAGTATTAAGAGTAGTAGTAGTAGTAGTAATAGTAGTAGACTAGTAGTAGTAGTAGTAGTAGTAGTAGTAGTAGTAATGATAGAAGTAGTATTAAGAGTAGTAGTAGTAGTAGTAAAAGTAGTAGACTAGTAGTAGTAGTAGTAGTAGTAGTAGTAGTAGGGGTGGTAAAATTATTAGTATTTATAGACTAGTAGTAGTACTTTAGTAGTACTAGTAGTAGCAGTAGTAGTAGTAGTAGTAGTAGAAGTATCATTATCACCATTATTATTATCATCATCATCATCATCTATACAATGTCCATAATATGCCTGTGTCTCCAGCTTCTGGTTGATTTCAAATAGTAGAATACGAATCTTATGGTCTTTGAGGTTCATAATACTGCATCTATATAATTAGCATTTGTATTGTAAGAATTCCATGAATCCTTTGTTTGTTGTCCGTTACCAGGAACATTTTTAAATGCATCACATTCTGTGGGTACACTGTCTTTAATAAACATGAAAATGTTCACACTTTATTCTCATTGCTGTGGGCAAAAGGGTTGTTTTTATTCATTCGATCCATATTATTAAAAACTGAAAAAGAAAAACATGAATCATGCCTCAAACTGTAAAGTTGATAAATGAATAAAAGAAAACTTAAACATGAATTATGGACGACAAGCATGGAGTTCTAAATACAAATTGCACATTACGTAGAAAAATGGAATTCCTTCAGAAAACAATGAAATTTGTAAAACTTTGATTTATCATCTCCATTGATAAAATGTGATATAATATTTCCAACAAATTTCTAATCTGTTTGAAGAAAGTTCACTTCGGACAATATGTAAAGGTTCTATTATATATTTATATATTATTTATATTATTTATAATTATGATGTTTAAAATATAAAAAGAAACATAAAGGTACTCTAAATGCAATGCTAAAGAGTCTAACAATGTTCGAAGGACCAACCACCATAAAAGGGGTAGTTTAGCCTTCTCAAGTAATGACAATCATATGTCTTTATGTAAAACTTCTTCTTAAATAATAATCTCCAGATACTAATACTTTACAACAACTGAGGAACACTCACCGCAATATATGAAGACAAAGAGGAAAAGGAGAATGAATATAATTTAAATGATGATATTAGAAAAACAAATACAATCTGCTTATAACGAGATACCACGAGGTATACAACAACGTAGCGACAGGGCCGTAGGGACTCATGCCCCCACCCCAGCCCCAATCAAATGAGTAAGAATGAAAAGAGAAGTGAGAGAGATACTCCTCTCACATTATGGCCCTCTCACATTTACATGCCTCCCCTCCCCTCCCCTCTCCCCCGAAAAATAAACTGATGTAAGTGTCCGCTCAATCGCTGCACCCACGATATGCCACAGGGTTCCACTGTACACATAGTACAGCTAGCCAACGCCAAAACGCTGAAGTTTAGACAAAGAGGGCGCCTGTTGATATCCCCAGGATGATGGCAGTACTCAGGAAAGCCCGATGTCGATGATGAGCAGAATCCGTGGTGGAGATGAACCGTCTCCTTCCTGATTCGAAGGGAGAAACAGAGGAAAAGAGAGTGAATGATTCTTGGTGTTTGGTGGAAAGGTGGTGATCCCTGTGGAGGTTTTGTAGTGCATGATAAGTACATGATACCAATATGAATCACAAGGTACGGGGTTCGAATCCCTGTCACAACAATAATGTCCTTTCGCAAAGCATTAATCTACATTTGCCACTCTCCGCCCAGGGAAGTAAATGGGCACCCGGTATGCAGAAATTCCTTAAATGCTCTAGCGCCTTTTTTTTTTTTTTTTTTTTTTTTTTTTGACTGTTTTTTTTTTTCCGTCTTTTTTTTGTTGCTGCTCTTGTTGTGTATTTAATCGTTGTTTATGATTGGATAACAATAGTGTGTTTAAGTCCAAGTTGAATATAAGACGATCGCAACTACTTCGAAAAATAAACTTAATTCCCCGTTGTAGGTCCTACATTATGTTCGGACTACGTGAATATGTCAACGTAGTGTTTGCATATTTCAATGAGTGACGTAAAATGCCACTGAAATTGCTATGGGTTGATTTTTTGAAAGTAGTAACGATCGTTTTATATACAAGTTTTCCTCACAATGAGCTGTCCTGGCTTCTCCTTGGGGTAGAAGCGAAAGATGAGGCCATTGACGACGCTGACGAAAGCAAGGATGAGCATCCCAACGATGAGGAACCGACCAAGTCTGGTCGTCGAGTAGGCGGGGGCCTCTGCACTGAGTACTGCCGACAATACCACCAAGGCGATGAGGACGGAACCCGCGAAGACGATCCGTACTCCGGCCGACGACGGACTGATCAGGAAGACGATGAGGATAAGCCATGCAGTGACCACGGAGGAGGCGATACGGCCGTGGGTCTCTCTTCGACGGACAATCCAAGAGAATGTAACATCTTCGAAGGTTTCCGGGCAGCAACTGTAGGACTGAGTATGCTTTGCAGCATTTTTGTCGATGATATCCCAAATCGGATGCTCTAAAAAATCTGGCTCTGACAACTCAATGGAGTCTAATAAGGTTATCTCAGATGCGTCATACGCCCATGATCCCCATTTCAGGCTGCAGTTCTGAAAGAAAGTAAGTAGAAAATGACTTAGTCACTAATTATTATGGAATGTTTCACGTAGAATCACTGGTTGATTGGATTGTTGTAACCTTACCTTTATCACAAGAGATACATAATTTTGAACTCTGGCTACTTTGCGGGGCGTTAAGACAATGGCTGTGAGTACCTGTTTATTATTAATCCGATGTGACAGTGGTCTTAGGCCCACCACACACTAAAGAAAGTGTAGACGATCATAATTATTTTCGAAGAAATCGCAGTGGGATTGGATTTGGAAACTCAACAAAGATCATCTTCCTGTTTACGGTCCTGAATACAGATATTAATAACATACCATGACAAATTTAGTGCATGAATGCCTTCTAGTCCGGGTAAGAGCTGAATCTGCTTTACAAGGACATATATAAGGGCAATGTGGCGTAGGACCATTAAGACATAGCACCAATGAGACGAAGGTCCACAGGGACATAAGGGCAATGTGGCGTAGGACCACTGAGAAATAGCACCAGTGAGACGTAGCACCAATGAGACGTAGGTCCACATGGACATAGGACCAATGAGACATAGCACCAATGAGACATATCCACAGGGACATAAGGACAATGTGGTGTAGGACCATTGAGACATAGCACCAATGAGACGAAGGTCCACAGGGACATAAGGACAATGTGGTGTAGGACCATTGAGACATAGCACCAATGAGACGAAGGTTCACAGGGACATAAGGACAATGTGATGTAGGACCAATGAGATATATCACCAATGAGACGAAGGTCCACAGGGACATAAGGACAATGTGTTGTAGGACCATTGAGAAATAGCACCAATGAGACGAAGGTCCACAGGGACATAAGGACAATGTGGTGTAGGACCATTCAGACATAGCACCAATGAGACGAAGATCCACAAGGACATAAGGACAATGTGGTGAAGGACCATTGAGACATAGCACCAATGAAACGTAGGTTATATGGACATAGGACCAATTTTGGTGTAGGACCCATGAGACTTAGCACCAATGAGACGAAGGTCCACATGGACATAGGACCAATGCGACATAGCACCAATGAGACGTAGGTCCACATGGACATACGACAATGTGGTGACACGATTATAAAGGAGCATTAAGACACACGGAAGATGGGACCAACAGCTCGGGTATGACCAAGGTCCAAGAGTAATACTAGTAGGCCTAATATAATAGCGCCACATGCCCCACGACGTGACGTATTTGAGCGTTTTTAATATATATCGTTCGTTTGCTCGTACGAAGAATATCAAGGAGTACATCATCGAAATAGGAAGATCCTTATTTAACCAACTGTCCAGAAACACCGTGAGGGGATTTGTAGATAGGACAAGCATCGATGACGTGATCCATAGTTTAGATCTTTCCACAGGCACAGTTTAGCGATGGATTAGCTCCAAGTTTATGCAGGAAATATTGTGTATGGCCGACTCCAGTCCTGATCCGATTGAGGTTGAACCAGGCTGTTCTTGAGAGGTCGCTGCCACTTGGTTTTGCACAGGGCCCTGGGATGAACTCCTTCAAGTAAGTAGTATAGACGGATTCTGCTGGTCTGACCAGCGTGAATACATAAGAACATGAAGAAGCCATTATTACATCTAAAACCTCACAATCAAGAGTAAAATCATGATTGTAGTCTTACGTGTTGATCGTAGGGATAGTCTGTCAGATCCATCGTACATGTTGCTTCAAGATGCATGGGTGGGATATAGAGGACACTACCATCAGCGTACACAATAGCGGAAACTCCACTCATCAGGCTTACACTTGGTGAGTTACTAGAATGGGAAGAAAACAAGATCTTGAATGACAGACAAAGACATTCTGAACGACAAATGAAATGGTATTAGAATTATTCATCACCCGATCATATTTTTGAAACGGCAAATAATAGTAACGTGCAAACTCAACCGTAAACATATTTACGACACCTTCTTCGGAGACAATACGCTACATTTTTAACAGTAAGAGTAACAGAATAGCTAGCTTAAAATCCTGGACCCAACTCCTTACCTAACACCAGGTGCGTACACAGGGGGGGGGGGGGGGGGGGGGTGGGGTCAACCCCCGCTAATTTTTATTTAAATTTAAAAAATAAATAAAAAATATAGTAATGGGTGACCCATACAAGGTGACCTTACCCCCCCCCCCCCCCCCCCCCCCCCCCCCCCCGCTTATTCAGCGGCTGGCTGAGTCGTTGCGAAATTTTTCATCAAATCCTGGACAAAAAAGTGCTCTTTTTGATGTCGCTTGCCCGACATTCAAATTTCCCACTTCTAATTCTGGCGAGAAAGAGACAGAGTTATCAAAAGTGCCAATAATATTTCAAGTCTTTTCATTCCATTATTATAGTGACAACGTAAATTTATTTACAAACCACTTCGCTACCCGAATATGAGGTACCGTATATCCCCCCTGGGAGATGTTTCACAAAGATCCTAAGTCGAACTTAATTCTAAGTTGGACTCAACAATTGTGGAGAGCGATTTGTAGCCTTAAAATAAAATATATTCAAGAGCAAAAATTGACTTATTTTAGACAATTTGTAAATTCTTCATCAAGAACATGAAATCTCCTTGATAATAGAAAATATGAATGATTTAAATCAACATTTTATGCCTTTTAAAATAACTTTTACAAAATATTTTCATACATGCTAACGGCTTATCATAATTTTTAAGTCCAACTTAGAGATAAGTTCAACTTAGGATCTTTGTGAAACACCCCCCCTTGTATCCTTATGATAATACCTGTTGTAGAGGGTTATATCAGGCACCCAGATTTCTGAGGGAAGCAAGTGAAGTTTGGTGATGTTTCCGCATTGGGCTGGATCCCATACCAACCTTGGGTCACTCCAATCCTTTCAAAAAAGAATAAAAAGGACAATGGTAAAAGCAAAATAATTATATTGATATGAAGAGATAAATTACATTTGTATATTTTCATGAAATTCTACCTGCATAACACTCATCTCACTCTCCCTTAAATTTGTACACAAATAACCTGCATATACAGCTTAGCATTTATGGTAACTTTGCCATCAATATTAAATACAATGGCAACATCATTCAACAGCCAATTAAATCAAGGTTTTCATGGAAGTTACCATCAACGATAAGTTGTATGCACCGGGGCCCAGAGCTATTGAACTTTTATTCTCCTTCCTTGTTTAATCAAGATGCTCCATTATTTCGAATGCTATCCTTTGTGTGTGTGAGGATGGGGGAGGGGGGGGGGGTATGTTTGAAAAATATCAGGCTAAATCCTCCCCCATACCTAACCGGAAAGAAATACAGCCCCTGACCGAAAATTCTTTTCGAAATTTCAAAATAACGAAATGTTGGATAAACACACCTTAGGAATGATGATGATGACAGATTTATGAATTGACTCACTTTTTTTAAAGTAGCCACACGAAGAATCAAAAGTGTTTTGAATTGATGCAAATCTCATATCATTGCGAAGGGGAAGCCTTGCTGATCAAATACAACAACTCTTTTCTTCAAAATATGTTTGGGGCCCGCAGTAATCAACTCTCAAAAATGTTAGTTTTGAGATCCAGATTTTCTGCCTTAATCAGCGGTCCTTTATAGAGCGTCAATATTTGTGACGTCACATACGGGACACGGCTGGCGAGTAGCAGACTGCTACACGGCACTGAACTGTTTGTCCAGTGTGTGACGTCACTATTCAGAGCTCGCTACGCTCGTGTGTTTTGCTTACGTTCGGGGCGCTTGGGGGGGGGGGTCTAAGAAGGGTCTTGAAAAATTGCATTTTACGCCTTTCCATGATATCTATATGAATTCTCAGCAAATTATTTGTGTTTTTTTACAGAAAATCTTTCCATCCATATGTAATTTGTTCTAATTTTCAGTTGTTAGTGAATTGTCTTTGTGTAGCTCCTTTAAATTTATTTTTAACTTGACGTTAAGTTACTCTTCACATTTCTTATCTTATAACACAGAGTTAACTGAATACTCGCAGGAATTTTATTGAGCAAAGTTGACATTCATTTACACTTACAAAATCGAAAGCGTTTTTTTTTGTGGCGGTATACCTTGTCATATACGAACGATTCTCAAAAACATCGAACCTTGGCATATACAAACTGTCGGATTCTGAATATTGAATGACGGGGGAGATAGTAAACAAAATAATATTCCTAAATAATGACAATATAACACAACTATCGCGGTATAAAAGAAGTTCTTTTATTTCACTTTTTATTTTATATAATATCACTTACTAAATACATCCGTACGTTCATCTGAATGGTTCCTTTGAATAAATCCTTCAAGAAAAAAAGTAAAAATAGATTAAATTTTAAAAACAGACAATGGCGTCCATTAAAATGACCTCTTCGTTGTATGTCATAAAGGTCAAATTGAGTGCTTAGACTTCACACAATATAAGTTACACATTGATATGCTTTGTGTGACAATCGTATCTGTTTTTTTTTAAATTCTTCTCAGTAGTCATTTCATATTCTATAACAATTTCTCTCTGATATATCACTAGCTTTGTAAAAAAAAAGATTGGCAAAAATTTGGACCAGTTGTATATTTCAGTTATTTTTATTTGTATATGCAATATGTTTAATATTGATATTGATAAATTTGATATTGATAAATTCCTAGCATTCTAAATTCCCAATTATTTTACTATCTGGCCAGTCTGAACAGTGGTTATGAATTACAGAGGGGAGTGATTTGCAATTTCAACCCCTCAGTCCCCTCCCCCTCCCCCCAAACCCGGCCCCCCACTCAGTGTTATTTAGGGTACACATATGCTCGTTCCCTCTTTTTGAAAGCACCCCCTATCTGAGGACTGCCAACATTTCCGAGCCCCCGTTTCGCGGGCTTTTTGCGGGCTTTTCCTGCCTTGGAGACCCCCCTAAATTCGGAAAAATGCTCAATGTACCCCCCTTAATTCGGAATAATTTCTCAGGAATCCAAAGAGATGAGAGAAAAAAAAGAAAAAACACCCCCTTTTTAAAGAAATCTCCGGGTAAAAGTCAAATACACCCCTTTTTTTACTATTCTCGGGCCGGACTTTGTCGCACGAAAAGTACCCCTTTACCGGACATTTTGGCAACACGCATGAGGTCCGTCCGACCTCGGAGTGGGGGGGCCGGGCCCCCAAACAATTGCTATCATTATCATTATTATTTAATTATATCTTTTTGTCATTATTACTGTTATAAGTGTAATTAGATGATGTTTGAAGGTTTGCATGGTGGTATGAACAATCGCGGAAGAGGTTTACGGTACACCATGTGTAAAGTCCTAGAAGGACTAAGGAAAGTGGATAGAAAATAGAAGTGAAATGGAACTGCTCCTGCTCTGCAACTCTACTCGCCGATTCAAGCCAGCTTCTCTCATCTACTCAACTCTCCAACTCAATCCAGTCTTCTACTCAAACCTCTCATCCTGTCTACAACTTTCTGGTTTACAGTCCTTTTCAGGACTATACTCACTTCCGAAAGATACTCTTCCTTCCAACCTCCACTTTCTCGCCTTTCCATTTCACTTCTATTTTCTATCCACTTTCCTTAGTCCTTCTAGGACTTTACACATGGTGTACCGTAAACCTCTTCCGCGATAAGTGTAATTATTTTGATTGTTGATAATAATAATGATAAGAAGAAGAATAACAACAATAATAATATTAATAATAATATTGGGTTCGTGAAAAGCGCTCATCATCTGTCAGACTTTACACTCCTGGCGCTTTTTTTTAATAATTATTATTATTATTATCATTATTATTATTATTATTATTATTATTATTATTATTATTATTATTATTATTATTATTATCATTATTATTATTATTATTATTATTATTATTATAATCATTATTATTATTAACATTATTTTGTTATTATTATTATTATTATTAATATCATTATTATTATTATTATTATTATTATTATTAGTAGTAGTAGTAGTAGAAGTATTTGTACTAACCAGTCCTCGAAGCTTCATCAGTGACATTCCCATAGTTACTCGGTTAGCCTGATCATAGTATGGAAGAGTTTCTTTACTGGCATAGGATGAGAGGAGTTTTGCTCTTAGGAGACCGTGATCACATGCTGATTCAGAATAGGAATCTAAATGAAAGATGAAAAAAAATATTGCAACTTTCATAGGATAGAGGTTGTGTCTGGACGCTTAATCAAGCAAAGACCCCCCCCTAACGATTTATATATGATGTGTCCCCCACATCCCCCCTGTTTTTTTTTTTTTTTTTTTGGGGGGGGGGGGACTGCTATGTATTTTTGGACAGATATTTGTTCTGTCCCCCCCCCCCCCCCAATACCCCTATTCTAAGAATCCCGGTTTCGTCACTGGATTATTACCATAAAAAAAATAAGATGTAGAATTCATACTATCCTGGGCGGTGGTGCATGTCAGCGACGCCACGCCTAGCAGGATCAGGTAGCCATAGAAAAACTTCATGACGGAGATATAAATCTGAAGAGGAAAATAATGTGGACATTTTCAATTTAGTTTTGTTGACACATTTTGTAACAAGACAGTTTAAAATGCTGATTGGGATGAACAAAATACACGCTGATAACATATTACTAGAGAAGGGGTTACGATGTTAACAGACGAATTCCTGGTTGTCGCCATACATCACTTTATTATTGCTTTCCGTATTTTTGTTAATTTATTTTTCAACGAGTATTTTCAAATGTTTAGTGATGGCTTTAAGGCATTTAGGTTAACTATAGGTATCAGATTGGGAAGAATACTTATTGAAAAATACCAACAAATAAATACTTGCCTTCTTTTCGAATCTCGAAACACAAAGTGGCAAAATCTGCGTCGAAATCAAAAATATGAGTCGGTCTACCAACAGAAACTTTAGATGAAGTGGAAAGGTTAGGTCTTTGGAAGTGTTTGATCAAGAGATAAACTTAATACTGGGCGCTATTTTGTTGCTGGTAGGTATCATCCAAGTCGAAGATGCGTTGGGGACGTTGACCCCAAGAAACGAATACGGGCACTTTGATTTTGCCACACCCCATACGCAGTGGCTGATTTAGGGGAGGGGCATCCCCTCTTTAGAAGCCCAAATACCTTCAGAACAAAACAATCACAAATATAAAGGAATATTGCTCCCTTATTGTATAGTGTCCTTTTTATTGCTCTTCGTCTTCTTCTCCATCTTTGTTGTCTCCTTCTTCTTCTTCTTCTTCTGATTTCTTTCTTTCTTTTCTTTTTCCTCCTCCAAATATTATACTTAGGTTAGGGTTAACGTTGGGGCTAGGTTTAGGGTTAAGGTAAGGACCATGATTGAAGTTAGGAAATCGATGCTGACCGAAGCATTTGTCGGTAGAGAATTATTTTGTCACCAGAGCATTTGTCGTAAACTCTGATATGATGGGTCTGTATTTTTAGTTTTTTACTAATTCAGGTTAACTCGACAGTGGGTCTTAAATCACTTACTTTTGTTTAAGGAAAACTTACACTGCGGACTTTCGCCCTTCTTAAACCCGATGGTTGAACAATTATTGGTAAGCCCCACGTCGGTTTACATTTTAGAAAAATTCGGACCAAGATCCGAGGTTTGTCTTCCCCACGGTGTCTTTGACATGGTACTATCATCGGTTGTAGTAATTGCAACTGCCAGCAGATTATTACAAGTTTAGTATATCGTCAGCAGCTCCGTACTTGAAACGACTGAACTGAAAATAATTTGTAGGGTCTAGAGTAAATTGATATTGACTGCAGTGGAGAATGGAGTACAGAAATGACATTGGATACTTTTTGAGACAAGGTCAAGGAAGAGAGAAACAAAATAAAAGAAAGGAGTATATATTCTCATGGCTTCTTCGTTTGAGAAATAACAAGGCGGATATGAATTGTCTACAATATTCAAAGTAGGAGAAATTATTGTAGTGCTTTTCAAATTTGTTTGTTATGCAGATGTTTTAAAAAATAAAGGATTCAAAGTAAATTTTGAAAAGCAGTCGCTTACTGACGTTTAAAGTATTTTTCTTCCTGTTCTCATTTTCCATAGCAGTTTGAACGATAATTTTTTTCTCCTCTTCTTCTTCTTCTTCTTCTTCTTCTTCTTCTTCTTCTCCTTCGTTTTCTTCTTCTTTTTATCTTTGTCTTCCTCGTTTTCTTCTCCTAATTTTGTGCAATGACGTAGACTATATTGAGCGGAGCCGCCAAACCTTCTTTTTTCTTCCAGCTCCGCCCTTCCCAACGGCCAACACAACAAATTATTAATATGAATCCCCTAAATATTATGTAATTTTTTCCCCTTCTCTCTCTCTCTCTTTGTCCACATTCACTGGGGAAGCATGGCAAAAACGGGGGTTGGGCGGGGGGGGGGGGGGTGGAGCATAGGAACTCCGGAAAACTTTTGTCTATTCTTAGGAAACACATTTTACCTAGACTTGTCTCTCTCTGTCTGTCTTATAACTTCACATTTAGTATTTAGTCTGACATCCCTCTTGACTCCCAATACAAACAAATAACACAACACACTTCGAGTATTGTGGGATAGCCTGACAACGACTAGTGTTGTATGTGTGATAAACGAGTAGGGCATCCTAAGGATCCACAATGCACCATTTAGAATCAGTGGCGTATAAATATGGTCCAGTCATATTCTCTCTCCCCCCCTCTCTCTCTCTCTCTCTCTCTCTCTCTCCCTCTCTCTCTCTCTCTCACTCTCTCTCCACTGTCCATCTATCTCTACACAATGTATTTCATTTATCTCCACCTGTATCTCTCTCTCTGTGAAATATATTTCTTATTTTTTTTATTTTGCTCAAGGGGCAGCTACCAATGTTACGAAATTAACTCTAACACATAAAAATGGTCCCCCAAAAGAAGAAAATTCAAAAGATCTTAAATATATTTGCCTGAATTCGCTTTTAGTACGATATTATATTTAAAGCAGTTAAAGATGATCTGAAATAAAAAAAAATCGGTGACATTTGCTCCAGTGACAATTGCTTGAGATATCTTTGCAATAGGACTAGTGATAATCTATAGCAAAAGTTCGTCATCCTTTACCAACATCTGATTGTTGTTTGTAATGGTATTGGGCGTATCCAGACACCTCCCCCTGGACATCCACCCCTAGGACAACTACCTCTTAGGGCAACCACCCTCTAGGACGACTACCCCCCGAGACAACTACCCCGGGACAGTACCCCCAAAGACAACTACCCCTAGGACAACTACCCCCAGACAACTACCCTCAGACAACTACCCCCTAGGAAAACGACCCCGGACAACTACCCCCATAGGATAGTTGTCCGGGGGTATGTGTCCTAGAGGGCTTTACTTTTTTTACTTAAATCTTATTTTTGGGGAGCTATTATGTCCCATGATAACCTTTATCTCCATTTGTACTGAACTGATATTTCATTTGTCTGGTAAATCGTATCTAAAACGTACCTGCTTGAAAGACTGACATAGTTTTTATTCGCATCTTAGTAATTTCTCATTCTGAAATGCTTTTTGACCACTAAGGACCTACTCGTCAGTGTGTTTGCTGTGTATGGTGGTGTGCGTGTGTGGTGTGTGTGTGTGTGTGTGTGTGTGTGTGTGTGTGTATGAGTATTTGTATGTTCTATATTCTGTAGCTTAGTATTTTCATCCATTGTATAATCATACGTAACATTCTTTTTACTGTAAATGTATGTATTTTGTTATAGGGCCCCGCTCACAAGCTTAGCTTCTAAAGGGGTCCTAAAACCGTTCAGTTTATGATGTAATCAAGTTAGAATATGTTGATTGATGTACTATTACCAGTCTCTTTTTTATGTAACAGATTATATCATGCTTTGTATGTGTAACCCCCATAAAAATGGCAATTACTAAAGTCATATTTTGTTATTTATTCTTTTTCTATTTCTATCTCTCTCTCTCTCTCTATCTCTCTCTCTCTCTTTCTCTCTCTCTCTCTCTCTCTTTGTTTCTATTCATTTCATCTGATACTTCTAAGAAACAAACTCTGCTTTGTGCTCCTTATGCAGTTTAGTGCAATATAGGTTTGTTCTCACCCAGATTATTTTCTTCTCCCAGTTTAAGAACTATTGCTGGTAGATAGCTTATTTGCTAGAGCTTTGACCATCAATAACACTGGACACAGTGTTTGGGATTACATTGTCTCCCACAGAATTCGGTGCCCTTTCCCCTTTGTCTATTCCCTTTAATAGGACCCTCTTTACTTAAGTGGTGTTTGCAGGTAGATTGTGTCCCTTCAGGATGTTGCTACTGTTAATCTCTGTATTCAGGAGAAGTATAGTGTTAAGTGGTTGTACTAAGAAAAGACAAGCTTTTAGACCATGCTGTAGAGAGCTGGCTTGGAGTATTGGGTTTGAGACAAAGGATGGGTCGTTTTAGTTTAGGGTGCAAGCTTGGTCCTATCACATGATGTTAGGTAACCAATAAGAAGTCTAGTTGGAAGGAAGGGTAATGTGGGTCTGGACAGTTTAATAAAACTTTGAAACTTTAAGTTTCCAGCTCATTCTCTGCCCAGCTGCCATTGCTTCGAACACTGCCCTGTATATATATTCAATCTCCATGTTGGAGCATGTGCTACTAAATATATCTGTAGCCTCTACCTGATTTTCTTCTTCAAAATATATATATATATACAAAACGTATATATCAACTTTACCTTCTTCAAGTTTCTCTAAGTTTTGAGAGAGTTTCCTGTATTATATTTGATTGGGCATTCCATCCAACTTCAACCTTTATGAGTTGCATGGTTATCATCCCAGTTCCTGATTTTATATTGCAAGCAAGTGTTGGCTCTTTTACTAGGTAAGAACACTATATTTTGCTATGTATCTTTTCATTACTCTGTTGTATGAAGTGTGTGTATATCATGATGATATCTATATTTTGCTTGTATGACTCTGAGTGTAGTTTGAGACTGTAGCATACATTCTATAACTTTTTAATTCAGATGTGTGTTATACAAGATTGATTATTTCTGCTGATCAAACAATTCAGTTAAATGAGAAGAAAAGATTATTATGAGAGATTATTTTGCAGTTATTATACTGCATAGCATGCGAGCCCTAAAATAGCCCATGCTGAAAGATAATTGGCTTTTATTTAGGGTAATGGCAACTCGTGCAAGAGGTCATTGAACTCTCACTAAATTTGGTGGTTTGAGATACTTGGTTGTAGATAAGATTTACTAACCTTATCTACTGATGTACTGGTAATGTGTATTTGCTGTTCATTATAGTTATGCGCAGCGCGGAGTATTATTACGCATATTCAATTGCTGGACTTTTCCATTAATTGTAAAAGTCAAATGTTATTTTGGCAAATTCGAAATCAAGCGATATGGTCAGGTCAATCAGATAGATCGAGCTATCTATCTGTGGCATCCCTATTGCATTCATTATAGCTCATAATGATATGAATGAAATCTCTACTGAACAGTTGGTGCACTATGCTATCTTCATTGCATGCAATTATTGTGATGTATACATATCTTATTTATATTTACTAACGTGGGATAAGTACTATTTTGAAAAGGATTGTATCATGTTAATCATGAATTAAACTAAGTTATAAGTATAACTGAGTAAATTAAGTTGACAGAATCACATTGATTCTTCCAAAGTTAATTAGATAAATCAAGAGGCAAACTTTCATTGTTTCCTTAATTTCATCTATTGAGGGACGAGCTTGTTATATATATAAATATATATTTATCTTTCCCTCTCTTAAGGAATATTTTATTAGAAGAGTTCTGTTTATTATGCTCTTTTACTAGGCGGATCTTTTACTAGGCGGATCTTTTACTAGGGTCTTTTAATTGATGAAATTCATCAAGCTTCAAGCTATTGTTCAACTTGTTCCTGTG